GCTTTGTGTCCCCCTGAGTGAAGCCCCTCCAAGAAACCAATGAAACACTTTGTATACATTAAAGTGGTTTCTCTCTGGAATTGTCAGGAAAGCTCTTGCCTTCTGTGTCCAATGTCTTCCACCTGTTCAAGATATAGACAGAATAGAAGCCAGCGGTTTTGGCTTGTGTTTTGGGTCCCAGAATGACAGGAACTTTGAAAGTGGAAGCCTGTCGCTTCATCTTTTCTCCCCCAGACTCTGAAGGCCAGGTTTGCCCAGGTTGTTTTGGGCCCACAATTAATCAGCACTCCCTTTGAGAGCGGCTGTGGATCTTGACCAGTGAAGCACTGGACTCTGCCTTCTGGGTCCTGAGTTGGTTTTATAACTGCTTGAGAAACGGCCCTCCATGTTTCCCGGCAGGTCTTCCTTCAACAGCAGAGATACTGTCCTGAACCAGAGAAGGAGATTGCTCCTGAATCTGCCCTCCCCAATCCTCTCTGCTGATAAGTCTTCCACTTCTTGGCTCCACTTCCCTCCCCTTCCAGGCTGCCAAGTTTCTGGACTCCCTCTTTCCTCCTTTAGGAACTGTGGAGCTTGTTGAACTCCTGCTACTGATCTGCCCTCCCTGTGGAACCAGCAGCCTGCTTCTTGGAACTGTTTTTTTGAATCACTTCATTGTAAACGTTTTCTCCACGTGTCCCTGTATTTGTTTCCTCCTTGTCCTGCCAGAAGGACTTTAAGTCAGAATTTCATCTGGGGTCCTTCCAGGTTTCCCTGAACTTGCTGGTTCCATTACAGGAACCACTTTGTGAACCGTGTTGGATTGAGGAAAGATCACAGAACAGGACAAACACAGCTCTGGTTCTTTCCATCCCCTTTACAGAACAAATTTAGGCTCTTCTTGATTTGTTTTTACTAACACACCAAACCTCCACCTGTCCTTCCTTCCTCCTTTCTCCTGTCTCAGAGGATCCAGATTTCTTGTCTCTCAGCAAAAACAGGTCAGCCAGATTCCTTCCCCAGTGCAAAGTTCAAACAGCTGGGTGATCCTTTGTGAGGATCTTTTAACCAATGGGACAGTTTTTTGTTTTTTAGCTTTTGTTTCCCCAGAAACTTTTGCAGGGCCCCCAGCCTTGAAAAACCAGAAGCCCTGTGGGTTTGCAGGTCAGAAGACCACCGGATCTCCTGAAAGTCTCTTGAAACACGACCATGGCAGTTCAGGAAACATTGGATGATACGCAATCTTTTCAGCCCATTTTGAAAATGGAAAGTTTATTTTTTTCCCAATAACAGGACCTCACCAACTATCGTCTTCCTTCACCTTTCCACTTTTATACACTTCCCAAAATGTGTGTTTTTCTTTAGCCCAGAATTATCTCAACACTCCTGTTAATTGATTGTCTTCGCCTCTTGTTTTCCAACAAATTTGAATCTGCCTTTAGTTTTTTACATACCTGTCCAAACAGGTAGAATTATTAAACCAGCAGGAAAGTTTGCCTTGCATGTTGATGGTTTTCA